CGAATATCCTCATAGCAACAAGGAAAAGAGCAAAAAATTTTAAGATAATCTATGATACCTTATATACAAATCTAGTGGTACATACAAACAAAGGATTAGAAAACTTACTAGTGATCCCAAAAAGTCTAATAGGGGAGATAATGTGGGAAATGCACGCGGCACCAACCGCAGGACATCTAGGACTAACCAAAACAATTGATAAATGTAGAAATGGATATTACTGGCCACTGGGTAGGGATGTTGAAAGATATCGAAAAGTACATAAAAGGATGCATAGACTGCCAAGCACGGAAAGGACAACCCTACAGAAAAGTTCCAGGTCCTCTGCAACCAATAAAAGTGGGATGCGTTATGGACAAAGTGGGGATTGACATTCTCGGTCCGCAATAATGGCAAAACAATGATAATAGTTGCTACTGATTATGCATCACGATATGCAATCACGGGGGCATTACCAAATGGAAAAGCAGGCCTGGTAGCAAAGTCGAGAGGCAAATTAGCAAGAAGTGATCCTTGTAGCAGTGGCTGCTGCAGAAAGAAAAGCGTTGCAGCCGCGAAATTTTTGGGTCTTTTACGGTATTTTTGGGATTTCTAATGATGGGGGCAAGCGGAAATGCGGCTATTTCAACAAATTTTGATGAGAATTTATAGTAGAACGTTTCTTATATTATAATGTATGTATTTGATTATTTTCCATTTTGAATTAATAATAAAATTTAAAGGCCTTTGCTTAATCGGCTACAAGCCAATTCGACTTATTACTCCCTATGTGTCTAGTAGGTTTGTCCGGTCTGTACTATGTACATTTTCCATGATAAACTAGGTAGAAAAGGCCAGTGTATTAGTATATCATGCAAACGGCAAAAAAATAATCCAACGACTTAATGAAAAAACGTATGCCTATAAATGTCTCTTGGTGTAACACTTAATCACGCTTATTCAACGGTTGAATAGAGAACGGAAGATAACGATTTCCCCTGTCCCACCTCCAGCATTCCCAGCGCTCTTTGGCCAACTTATTGTTGTCTCCCTCCGCTTCGCGAAGGGAGGCAAACCACATCTCGCTCTAAAATCTAATACGTTTTTCCCTTGTGTGTAATGAATAACTATCATTCATGGGATGTTATATCATTCGGTGTTAAAGTTGCTCAATATATTGGGATATAGAATATCATCCATAACTCTTCGGAATGTAGCCGGCGCGTTCTTCAAACCAAAGGGCATGCGCAAGAATTCATAATGCCCGTTTTCTGTGTTGAATGCGGTTTTTTCGATGTCGTTTTCATACATCTGGATCTGGTGGAAGCTGCTAGCTAAATCTCAGGTGATGAAATACTGGCAGCGTCCCAGCTTGTTCAAGAGATCCGTTATATTAGGTAATGGCTATCTGTCGACTAAGCTTTTTGTATTAAGGCTCCTAACATTTATTATACTATACTAAACAAAAAAATGTTCAAACTGTTTGTCAAAGTGGGTATAGCAACAACAAAAACATAAACCACACAAGTTTGATATAAAAATAAATAGTTATGAATGTTATAGGATCAGGAACTCAATATTTTTGTACCTACTCACTACACCTACTATATACAATGCCAAAATAACTTTTGGGGCTCCGCCCCCATAACAAATTCACTACAGGGGCTCAAGCCCCCATTGCCCCCATGATTCCGGCGCCTATGACAGCATACCATCCACAGTGTAATGGCTTAACTGAGAGACTAAACAAGTGGAAAAGTGGGCCGAAGTGAAAAGTTATTATTGAAATGGTTTGGACCATACAATATATCAAGAAAATTAGGAGAGGTAGATTATCAAATACAAAAAGTTGGACGGAAAAAGAACACAGTCCACGTTATTAGGATATTACCCTATTACGACCCGTGGACAGAGTCCCCAATTTGAGAAGACTTACTAAAGGATCCAGAGGAGGATCAAATAAGTGATATTGATGACAATGAAGAAATCAAGGAAGATTAACGCAAGGTCCTAAGTTGTATAGAATAAACGCGTAAACGAGCAAAGTCCGGAAACTCCTAATTGTAACATATTCGATACCAGCACTTCGAAATGCAGCCACTAAATGGAACAAAATATTATGAACAAAGAAATAGTATATTACAATCCGAGACGGAAAATACTTCATTGCTGGTCGAGAGGTTATTATAGTTTATCGAGACGCGAAGCGTCGAGATAAACTCAACCTCGAGACAGAAATGAAGTTTTCCGTCGAGGTTTGTATACTTTTTTATTTTCAACCCTTAATTTTCTGATGCAAAAACTAAAGATTCTGTTATACGAAATTTTCATATAGTGTAAAACTGGCCTTAGAAAAAAATATTTCACTTTTTTTGTCAATGTCATCAATTTTGACGATCTCAAAGGCCCTGTAAAGGCCAAAACAAAAGACGAAACCACAGGAAACCGCAAAATCAACAACCATAGATAAGATCAACAACGCCTTAACGACGGTAGTTTTCGCTCAGTATTTTTGCGGAAATAATAGATTTTCACTAGATTTCTCCCCGTTCTCCCCAAAGAAATGATTTCGGAAAGTGAAGATGAAGCGATGGATTGTACCCCACCTGAATTAAAAGAAGCAGCAGACAGGATTGGAGAGAGTTTGCTTCCAGCAAAAAGCAAATTTCGGTACGAAAAGGCTTTTCAAATATTCGAAGCATGGTGTAGCCAGAAAGGAACGAGAAATACTGCCTCGGAGACCGTTTTGTTGGCGTATTTTGGCGAATTATCTAAGGAAAAGAAGCCTTCGACTTTATGGTCGACTTACAGTATGTTGAAAACCATGATTAAATTGAAAGAGAAAGTTGATATCTCCAATTACGCAAAACTTATAGCTTTTTTGAAGCGGCAAAATCTGGGCTTTCAGCCGAAAAAGTCGAGCGTTTTTTCCAGAGAAAACATTAACGAGTTCCTCACGAAGGCAGCTGAAGAATTCATTAGCATCAAGGTAGGTTTTCAAAAAATATACAAAGAAGATAAAAATGCGAAAATCAAAATGATTTTCTGTATGCTATAGCTAGGTTACCCATTTTATTTTTATCTGGTTTCAGGTAGCGCTAATTGTTGGTGTGTCGGGTGCATGTAGGAGCGATGAACTAGTCAAGATGAAAATGGAGCACGTCAACGTTTTGGAAGGAAAGATCGCTATAGAAATTCCACACACAAAAACTTACACAAGTCGATCGTTTATCATAAGCGATCCAGATTGGGTTGCTATTTTCCACAAATACCTCACTTTGCGGAAAAATTTGAAAAATGACAGGTTATTTGTTCAATGGCGAAATGGGAAATTACATAACCAAGCAATTGGCTATCATTCAATCTCAAAATTTCCACATAAAATAGCTGCTTTTTTGAAGCTTCCAAAAATTGAAACTTTTACAGGGCATGCTTTTCGTCGTACTTCCGCAACCTTATTGGTTGACAACGGGGCCGATCTATTGCAACTCAAAAGACTGGGAGGGTGGAAATCGAGCACGGTTGCTGAAGGCTACATAGAGGCATCTTTGGAGAACAAAAGTAAGACTGCTCTGATGCTATCCTCTACTTCCAAAGGTATTCAGTTGTCCAGTGCATCCACAAGTACATCACATGCGGAAACTCATCCGCAAGCGCAAGAGATAATAGTTCCAAACGAAACACAATTCCAACAGGATGGTCTCAAGATTTCCATTATAAACAACAATGCTAATTTAACAATTAATGTAAATAAGTGAATAGATTTAATTAGTTCCATGTAATACATGTGGTTTTATTATTATATGTGAGAGCTGTATGAAAATTATCAATTTGGAACGAGCAGGGAAATGGGGACGGAAAAGCATTTGCCGTCCCGGACGGAAAATGCTTTTCCGTCCTAGGCAGGCATATGCATTACCGTCCCGATAAATGTCAAAGTCTAGAAATGTGACACTTTCAAGATTTTGAAAAACCTGCAATGTCAACATTACATATGTGGTTGAAAATAATAGTAAGTTACCTTGGATTCAGGATTCCGACGATGTAGCTGCCGAAAAACTCGCTTTTTAAGGAATCGGTGTTGGTCTATAGGAAAAATTGGAAAGATGATGAAATAAACGACGAAACCACAAAACCTTCACTTACTACTCATGGTCAGAACGAAAAACTAATAATCGATAACCTACTTCCGCATAATCGAACAAATTTATTGCAATGTTTTGTGTTTTATTTTTTTTGCTTATGAGGCTTATATTTTATAGCGAAACAGTTGACCCAGTGGCAGTAGCAAATTAACACATTTAACCAGGGGCGCAACAAAGTACCTACTAGAAGTAAAATAGCCCACACAACTTCTGAAGACAGTCAGCCATAACGAAGGTCCACAAGTCAGTCGCACAGCAGAACAAACCACTATGACAGTTCACAAACCAGTTGGACGCTAGACAGGTCACGACGATTGTCCACAAGCCAGTGGGACAATTGAACAAATCATGGGAATGTTCAACAACCAGCGAGTCTGCCTATAAAACCACAAGAACAGTCTACAAGTCACCACAACTACCCACAGTGGGACAGCCATTAAAGTACTACCACTTCCAACAAGTTACTCTGCCCATAAGCAAGTTGGCAGGCACAGAATCCAGTAATCTACATACCACAACAGACCAAACCAGTCGACGAAGCCGAACGAAGAAGCTGTAATTTTTCTAAGCTCTTCGAGGGTAAATTTTCATAGGGCTATTTGGGTACTATTCACAGCGTAGGGCTTTCTTAATAATAGGCATTCCAAGGCCCACCAGGGAAGAACATTTACTACGATCTATTTTTGGTAAACCCTAATTAATTATCTCCTAGATAAATTAAGGTGTAACAATAGATTTATTAACTACTAGTGGTGAACTCTTTCCTTTTCCCTCCATAATCTTATTTCAGGATAAACCCTTAGCCGACGCAGCCCAGTATAGATAAAGCGCTGACCACAAACAACCTAAGCGTGACAATATCATTGTATATCTTACCTTAATATTTCCAACACTGTGAGCGTTTATTCTAATAGCTCCTTCATCCATTATCGTTTCTCTGGTTAACATTCGAAACGTTGTCGTTTTGCCGGCACCATTGACGCCCAAAATACCCATGCATTGACCTTTCGTCACGCTGAAACTGACGTTGTCGACTACTCGTTTACGACAATAGTATTTCCTCAAGTTTTTCGCCCGTAAAGTGTTGTGGTCGGCTCTTTCTGCTCTAGTGTCTTTTTTTACTTCGATTTGACGACCATGACACAAACATATTAGACTTTTTACCCAATTCAAAACTATTTTTACACAATACAATTCCAGTAAGATAACTAACAAAAAGTAAATAGCCGCACATAAGAGCATCCACCATATGTTAGGATGATAAACGTCTTTGTAGCTCTTCCATTTATCACAAGCGGGACTGTTTCCCAAGCAACACGGATTCATGTTTCCGCCAAAGCATCTGGTTTTTTCGTCCGAAACAGCGAAATTATAATTTTCAATTGCTTTAAGCCCAAATCGAAACCCGAAATGGGGGAGACCGTATTGAGGGCAGATGATAAGAAATATTATGTCGAAGACTTTGAATATTTTTTGGGCTTTTTGCTCGAGCAAAGCAGTACGCAATAAAAAAATGACAACCACCAAAGTCGCAGCCAACCAGCTGTATATTATGAAATTGATATAAGCACTTCCAAAGAGTTTCAGTCTGCCATACAAGTAAGCACATGGTATGTTACACAATCCGTATAGTGCTAGGATTAAATACACCACACCTAAATAAATAATAAAATAATTATTTACATTTACAAACAATTTTACATTTGGCACGACATAATATGCATAATTCCACAAAACAGGTTACCTAAGAGGTGAGCAACTGTTAGAATTTATCTTTCAAACAAACCTAAATATACTTAATGTAGGGAATACACCAACATTTGTTACTAGGGTCAGACAGGAGGTGTTAGACATAACACTTTGTAGTCCAAATATTGACCAAATGATTAGGAATTAGAGAATCTCGAATGAACCCTCTCTCTCTGATCATAGAATCATATTATTTGAATTAAAAGGAGTGCAGGAGCGAACTGCCTCGTATAGAAACCCCAGAAACACAAACTGGGAAGAATACACGAGCAAACTGCAACGCAACGTCAAACAAAATGAGGTTAGCTGCAGGAACACACGTAAAGTACAAGAAACCCTTCAAATCCTTAACGGAGCAATCATGGAGGCATACGAATCCAGTTGTCCTGTGAAGGAACAAGTAAACAAAAAAGGTTGTCCATGGTGGAATAGTCACCTGTCACGACTTAGATCCGAGGTTCGCTGTCTCTTTAACAGAGCCAAACGGGACGGAGAATGGCAGGGTTACACCGAAAGGCTGACTGAGTACAACAGAGAATTAAGGAACGCCAAACAAAAAAACTTCCAGAACATCAGCCAGACTATACAGAACCCTGGCAGGGCGCAAGAACCATTGACACTTAAGAAACCAGACGGCAGTTATCCAGAAAATGGAGAGCAACGAGCTGCTCTTCTACTGGAAACCCATTTTCCAGAAAGTATACCCAATGGTACTGAAGAAAACAAAGAACGGCCCAGAAAAACCAGTCAAGAAAACTGGGAGGTTGCCAAGAACCTTTGCACTCCGTCGCGGCTTGCTTGGGCGATCGACTCATTTCAGTCGTTCAAGTCATCTGGAGTAAACGGCATTTTTCCAGCCCTGTTGCAAAAAGGGCACAATGAAATTATGCCGTATCTAATCAAACTTATTAGATACAGCCTAGCGACCGGATACATACCCAGTCAATGGAGAAGAGCTAAAGTAACTTTCATCCCAAAAGCAGGGAGAAAGGATGCCACTCTACCGAAGTCGTTCAGACCTATATGTCTCACGTCGTTCTTACTGAAGACAGTTGAGAAAGTTGTAAATAACTATTACAGAACAAATGTTCTAGAAAAGACGCCACTACATCCTAGGCAACATGCTTACAGAGCGGGCAGATCAACAGAAACCGCTCTATTCAAACTTACTGTCAGCATCCAAAACAAAACACACTGCTGAATAAAGAAGTAGCCATCTGCGCCTTCTTATACATAGAGGGGGCTTTCGATAACACCTCTCATGAGTCAATAAAAAATGCGCTTGTCAGAAAAGGAGTGGACAAAACCACATCCACCTCGATGTGTGAAACGTTAGCCGCCAGAACTGGAGAAACGGATGTGGGGCAACAAACCATACAAGTCACCACAACGAGAGGATGTCTACAGGGAGGGGTACTCTCACCCTTGATATGGAGTCTAGTAGTCGATGATCTACTAAATACACTGACAGACCAGGGCTTCAACTGCCTTGGTAACGCCGATGATATTGTCATCATAGCCAGAGGCAAATACGAAGGAATACTCTGTGACCTTATAGAAAAAGCACTCCGAACCACGAAGGAATGGTGTCAGACACATTCGATCGAGAGATCTGAAGCTTCCCGCCTTTCGGCATAAGCTGAAATGTCCAAATCGGTGCTCGTACCCACTAAGTAGGAAAACCACTGTCGAGTTAACACCTGTTCTAAGATCCAGAACCCCTACACCCAACTCCGACCATGGATTGTTAGCGGGGTTGTTTTGGCTCGCAGGCCGTTGTCCTATTTTATCCTTATTGCCTAACATTGTGTCTTATCCTATTTTGTCCTTATGCCTAACATTGTTTCTTATTTTACTGTCCTTTATCCTACATTTTCCTTATATCTACATATGAGTTTCTTATGCTAATTTGTTCTCATACCTAAAATTGTGACCTATTCTATTTAACTCTATCCTATATTGTTCTTACATCTAACATTTTGTCTTGATCTGCTTTCTCTTTTTTTTTTGCGAGAACAGACATTTCTATGATAAGTAACAAGTATGTGAGTCCATTCGGTAAGTAATAAGGCTACATTATGTCTTCGTTACTGTTCTTGACTGCCCTCTCTGCCCATTTGTTCAGCTTTTCTATTTGCTGCCTTTTTCCTTTATTATTTTCGCGGAGCCTGATAAGTAGATCCCCGTACTCCCCCAGTATTTCGTCCCTGACGGCCCTCCTCTCTGGATCTTTACACTCCTCGCGCACGTGCCGTGCGTCTTCTAGTGCGTTTAAACCACAAGTGCACGTGCCGTCCACTTCTTCCAACTTAAATCTGTTCAGATATTATAAAAAGTTCCCATATCCGGTTAGTAGTTGTGTGGCTTTGAAGCTTAATTCCTGTCCCCACTTCGGCGCAATGTTTGTAGGCTTCCCTGCCCTTGGTTTCTTCGTGCCATGCTTTTTGCCATTCTAGCATTATCCTCTTTTCCCTGTCCGTCTTTCGTGTTGTTCTGTCCTTGTATTGGTATTGTCGTAGTTCTTGTATTTGGGCGAGGTTCTGTGCTTGTTTAGCTAGATTGTCTGCCTCTCTATAGCCATAGTTCGTCCCGTTGTGTCCCTTCCTCCATCCGAATTTTATTGTTCGTCCTTCGTCCATCAGACTTTCAGCAATTCTTAATGTATGCGCCACAATTTTGTCATAAGTCCTTCTAGCAGTTAGCCTGCCTAATAATTCCCGTCTGTCCGTTATTATTTTTATGTGGGTTATTTGGTGATGTTGCTCAGCTAACTGCAGTCCCTTCAGGATTGCCGCCAACTCTGCTCTATCTGTCCTCATTTCATCAGGGGCTCTGACTTATGATGTCGGATTGGTTGTCCCTCTTCTACCCAGAAAATGCCGATGCCAGTTTTGCCTTCTGGGCTGACACTTGCATCCACGTGAATTTCTGTGTTTTCCTGCTCTGTTTCATCAGTCCCTCTACCTCTTGTCGTCGGGTGCGGTCTGTTTATTGTTCTGATTTTTGCTGTCTGAATGTTTCCGTAATGTGTTAGCCAGTCTGCTCTCCTCTCCGCTGCTTCTATCCACAGGAGTGGTGTGCCTGCCATGACCTGTAGCACGCAATTTGCTGTTGTGACGTAGGCTCTACAGGTCATTAGGAGTAAAGGTCTAGCGGCAGCGTCAAGATGTCTCCTGCCAAATCTGAGTTGGCCTTTCCGCCCCAGATTTCTCTGGCGTAAAGCATCGCTGGCTTCAGTACCTTGTCTGGTATTTCTTTCAGCACCTGTTTGTTATGTCCCCATTTCCTGTTAATTGTTCCCATCAGGGTCATGGCCATTTTTGACACCTTTGTTCGCGTAGCTCGCAGGTGCTGAATGTAGTTTCTCTGTCTGTCAATTGACAGTCCAAGGTACTTTATGTGCTCTCCGGTGTTCACTGTCCGTCCGTCTGTTTTGATCCTGGGCTCCCTTGTTTTCTTTCTTTTGGGCATGTACAGTGTTTCCGTCTTGTCATCGTTGTATCTGACGTCGTTGATGCCTTCCCACTCTTTGCAGGCTGTCCATACGGCTTCCCATTTCTTTTCTATTTCTGTGATGGAGCCTGCGATTACTATAAGCTGGTCATCAGCGTTCGCCTGCACATCCGCCAGTCTGCTTTTATGTGTCCTGTCCCATGTCTCGTCAGCTTTGTCCATACATCTAAACCACCCCTGCATGACTAGTAGCCATAAGGTCGGGTCCAGACTTGATCCCTGTAGGCATCCTCTAGTCATGTCTTTTGTCACGTTGTCCGTCGTTATTTGTCTGTCTAGCATAAAGCTCTCGCAGATCTTCCTCAAGTTGCTAGGTGTTCTCGCTATCTCTAGTTCCTCGCTCACATTCGGCCCCCATGCTGTGGTAAAGGCATTCTTTAGGTCTAGGCCTACCGGCAATTGATGAGAGCCCTGTTCGATGTCCTTTCCAGGTGGAGTTGTAGGTGTTTGTTGATGATCTTGTCCAGAACCTTACCCAGCGTAGGGAGCAGGCTTGTTCCGTCTTTTTTGGGGATCCAGATGATGTTGGCTTTTTTCCAGACTTTGGGGAAATATCCCTTTTTTAGGCAATCTTTATAGATGTCAAGTAGTATATTGGGGGTTACTCTATATATGTGAACCATGGCTTCATTCGGTATTTTATCGATACTGGTGGCTTTCCTTTTCTTCAGACCTTCTATTGTGTCCTCCAGTTCGGCTCGATTAATTTCTCTCTCATTAGGTATGTTGTATGTTCTTTGTCTATTCCTTCTCTGCTTCATGTTGTCGCTGTCAAGTTCCGGGTTGTCATCTAGAAAGTATTTGTTAATTAAGTACTTGTTTGTTTCCTCCTCGCCGTTTGTGTTAGGTTCCGTCGTCCTTTAGTATGTTTCATGGAGTCTTCCACTTTCGTTTGTATGGCTTCCACTTTTGCGTCTTGTATGGCCTTTTTGTATTTTTGTTTGAGTTCCCTGTGTTTCTGTGCCATTGTGTGTCTTCTGTTCGGGTCCTGTTCTCGTTGTTGTTCTCTTCTATGTCTTCTTGTCTTTTGTCTCAGGTCTTGTAGGTCGGCGTTCCACCATTCTTGGTTACCTTCTTCCTCTATTTTTGTCCTTATCTGTGCTTTGCAGGCTTTTGTGCATATATCCTGTAATGTTCTGGCTTTCTCTTCCAACTCAATTGAGGTTTGTTCCCATGACAATTTGGCTGTTTCGTTTTGTATGTATCTTTCGAAACTCTGCCAGTCCGTGTTATCGAAGTCGTAGGTTTTTCTGGCTGCCTTCTTCCTTATGTCGGCTTTGACTTAATATGTGATCTATTTGTGGCCGCTTAGTGTTTCATCCTCCAGTATTTGCCAATCGTGTATCGATGTGTTTTTTGCGATCGTCATGTCTATGAAACTGCTTCCCATTACTGTCATGAAGGTAGGGCCTTGTCTGTCGTCATTTTTTATCTCATATCCGTGAGCTATCCCCCAGTCGAGCAGTTGGGTTCCCCTTTGGTCTGTTATTGATCCACCCCACGCCTCATTGTGAGCGTTGAAGTCTTTAGCCAGTATGTGTTTGTCCTTGATGTTTCTGTATTTGTCCTCGTTCTGTATAAGTCTTGTGTTGTTGTTGCCTCCAGGCTCGTCATATATCGACGTGATGTATATGCTAGTTCTTGCTTTCGTACCTGATGGTGGTGGTGTTTTCGTTGCATAGCTGTAGACATGCTGTTGTGTTTGGCAAGCTCTTATGAACCCATATTTTCATTTTAGACCCTTCTGTGTTTCCGTGTATATGGTAATTTCTGCTGCTGCCTTTTCTATAAGGCTCCTGCACAATAATCACGTCCGCTTCAAGTTCTTCCGCCATTCTTTCCATTAGGCTAGTCGCCTCCTTTCCTCGGTCTGTATTTATCTGTAGGATCTGGATGTCCCTTGTTGTGTCTTGTTTTGTTGTGTTCGGGTGTTAAATCTTGTATTGAATTTGTCCTCTCTTCCTCTCTAATTTCATTTTGTACGCCGGGCACTCCTTGTCCCAGGCCATGTGTCGTCTCTCGTCCTTTCGTATGGTAAGTCTGGCACAGTTTGGGCAGTCCATGTCTGGTTTGTCGCACTGTTTTCTATCGTGGTTTCCTCCACACCTCATACATGTCGGAATTTCTCTGCAGTGTCTCGCTAAGTGCCCGAACCTGCAGCAGTTAAAGCACATTGCCAACTCAAGGAATTCATCGACGAATAGACTCATTAGGTCCAGCCTGACTTTGCCAGCCTTCATTGCCGTCCTGAATATTTCAGTGCTCACTTCACAAACAATGTTCTCCTTATACGAGTTCCTACACGTTTTTCGGTGCACTACTCGTATGTGCTTGTCCGTTGCATTACCGAACTCGGGATTTTCCAGGAAAAGAAAGTTGGGAACCTCTTCGTCCTTTAGGCCTCTGTCTACTCCCGAAAGTTTCAACATTGGTCTTTGTTGAGTTTCACCCCCTCTCTGAGCTCCCCTACTTGTCCTTGTTGTAGTACCTGCTTTATCTTTTTTTGTTGATCCTGGTCATTTCAATCGTTCAAGTCACCTGGAGTAAACGGCATTTTTCCAGCCCTGTTGCAAAAAGGTCAAAATGAAATTATGCCGTATCTAATCAAACTCATTAGATACAGCCTAGCGACCGGATACATACCCAGTCAATGGAGAAGAGCTGAGGTAACTTTCATCCCAAAGGCAGGGAGAAAGGATGCCACTCTACCGAAGTCGTTCAGACCTATATGTCTCAAGTCGTTCTTACTGGAGACAGTTGAGAAACTTGTAAATAACTATATCAGAACAAATGTTCTAGAAAAGACTCCACTACATCCTAGGCAACATGCTTACAGAGCGGGCAGATTAACAGAAACCGCTCTATTTGAACTTACTGACAGCATCCAAAACACACTACTGAATAAAGAAGTAGCCATCTGCGCCTTCTTAGACATAGAGGGGGCTTTCGATAACACCTCTCATGAGTCAATAAAAAAATGCGCTTGTCAGAAAAGGAGTGCGGACAAAACCACATCCACATGGATGTGTGAAACGTTAACCGCCAGAACTGCAGAAACAGATGTGGGGGAACAAACCATACAAGTCACCACATCGAGAGGATGTCCACAGGGAGGGGTACTCTCACCCTTGATGTGGAGCCTAGTAATCGATGATCTATTAAATACACTGACAGACTAGGGCTTCATCTGCCTTGGTTACGCCGATGATATTGTCATCATAGCCAGAGGCAAACACGAAGGAATACTCTGTGACCTTATAGAAAAAGCACTCCGAACAACGAAGGAATGTTGTCAGACAGTGGGACTGAATCTCCCTGAATCCCCAGACTCTAAACTCCTTTGGGACCGACACATAGAGAACATAACAAACAAAGCAATTTCGGCACTCATCGTATGTAAATACATTGCGGGCAATACATGGGGTTGTAACCCATCGATCCTACGATGGATGTATACCGTGATAGTGAGACCTATCATCACCTACGGAGCGGTAGCCTGGTACAACCGAACCCAGCTAGTAACGGCTAGGAAAACCGTAGGAAAGGTACAAAGACTCGCATGTCTATGCATAACAGGAGCAATGAGAATATGCCCAACCGCGGCAATGGAAGTCATGCTAGACCTAACACCACTTCACACAATAGTGAAGCGGGTTGCCAGTGAATCATGTCTAAGACTGGCGAAGATAAGTCTACAAGGGAAAACGCACTTTCACCAAAAGACGCGATTGTTGATAAATTCAGTTTCGAGAAAAACTTTTCCATCGAACTAAGTACAAAGAACAGATGGAACATAGAATGTATCCAGTCCCTTAAAGCAAAAACCATCAAATGGTTCACAGACGGCTCCAAAACTACTGAGGGGACAGGAGCCGGAGTATTCGGGCCACGAACCAGATACTCGGAGCCAATGGGCAAATCACCAAGCATATTTCAAGCCGAACTTCATGCGATCGGAAAATGCGTGCAGTTCAACCTGAACAGAAGGTACCGAAAATGAGAAATTGTAATAATGTCTGACAGCCAAGCAGCTATCAAAGCATTGAGCTCGCCGATAATCAATTCTAAGATAGTATGGGAATGTCTACAGAAACTCAATGAGCTGGGAAAGAAAAACAAAGTAACCCTACTCTGGGTTCCTGGACACATAGGAGTCGAGCGGCCACTCCCTTCACTGGACCAGAACCATTCTGCGACGTCGGAAATCCGCACCTCCAAAAAATCCTCAAAAAGGAAGAGAACCGGCTAAGGAACAAACAATGGCTAGACCAACCAGGACTACGACAGGCCAAAGATCTACTGGATAGCTACAAGCAAAAAGATCTGAACTGCTGGTCAACCTTAGCAAGAAAAGTCTCAAAACTCTAACCAGGTTTCTCTCGGGACATTGCAGACTGAATAAGCACCTACATAATCTGGCGTTGGAAGAAGGTAACACTTGCAGATTCTGTGAAGAGGGTGAAGAAACACCTCACCATCTTCTACTGAACTGCGATGCCGTAAGCCGCTCAAGAATGAAGAACTTGGGAAGTCCCCTTATACAGATGGAAGACATTCCAGCCCTGGAACCGCTAGACATCCTAAAATTCCTAAAGGACTTAGGACTAGAGGGGCTGCTTTAAGCAGGAAACCCGAACTTAACAGCAGGAGAAGGGGTACAATAGATCAACCTTGGTCGCAGCGCAACTGACACCTCCTGTACATACCTGTATATTGACTTTTAAGGCTCCCAATAGATATTATGCGTTATAGTCCGGAAAATAAACTTTTACAGTATGAGTGGAAACATTGTGAGTACTAACGTTAAGTTTGAATTTGACATTTCAGTCCTGTAATGGTTATTTTCGGGAAAAGTTTGGAAAGTACCTACATACTTTCCGGACGCGTTTGAGTTAAGAAATTATGTCTTTTCCAGCCTAAGATGAAAAGTATTTTTTCGCACGGTTGTCTTAAAGATAGTGTACGTAATACGCCCGGAAAGTGTTTTCTCGCAGACTTCCATCTTGTTTACTTGCCAAAAAAAAAAAAAAATTGTTAATTGGAAATATTTACTCACCAAACGCGTCCGCTCCTCTGAACTGGGGGATCAATTGGGTTACAATTACGGTCACTAATAATGCGAATAGCAAATAGGAGATATAGTCGAAGAAAAAGTTATGTATCCAGTAAACGAGAGGTCGTACTCCAGACGTAAATTGACTTTGTGTAAAGTGTGTGGACAATTCGGAAAAAGGGAGAAAAATTAACGGGGCTATAAAAAAAAAGACCGCTAATGGTAATGTCACAGCCCATATCGACATAATTGTCTCAAAGTCTTGCATTTGGTACACGCCCTTGGATATGAAAACTAGCGGGTGATTTCTAGTAGAAATCGAATATCTTTCCCCCAAGCTATACTTTGCTATGGCGTTGGATATCAGGTTGAAGGAAATGGCAGCTGAGTGCAATGAATAGCAGTTATACATGGCTACAGCATCCAAAGTTTCCTGCTTCTGGTCCCCCGTAACTGTGAATTCAGCTGCTACAATTGATTTATAATGCAAATAAACCAAGTCTTTTTTTTGAGCTTCTTCGATAATACCTGAAAAATATATATTTTTTCAAATTCTTTTCAATTTTTTTGTCCGTGGGTACGTACGTCTAGATACATCATAAGCTAATTCAAACTTGCTTTTTTGGTCTGAAATCAATTTACCATATATTCTACCAATATTTGCTGACCGACCTTTCGCCCGTCCAAAAACTGTTGTGTTACCATAAGCACTTAAAGCAATTTTCCAGGAAGGGTCTCCAATATCAGACGGTTTTTTATTTAAAATTAAGATGCTCACTAGGACTATTAGTAAAGCGATAATAGTCTGAAAATAAACACTATTGAATTATGATTATTTATAATTTCATTTGTATACTCACTGAAATGATATATATGAGGCTGTTCCTGAAGATAAATCTATTCCTCTTGAAAAGTAGAGCTCTCAGTGTGAGACATAAAGAAGCATCTGAAATGTTTCGGATAAAAAATATTGTTATAGCTTAAATCTAGTAATAGTCTAGTAGGACTTATTGACTTGGCCTGATGTAAATAACATACCGGATAAAATTGTTTGAGAGTTGATATACAGCGGTGTCCCACCGGGAACCAAATCGATCTATATTATACTAGCTAACCAGGGCACACGTTGCTGTGGCTCAGTCAGGACCTTTGCTAAATTTGAAGTATCCGATACTTTACTTTCAAATGCTTGGATACTTTCTTTCTCACGCTCCACTATCCTCAGAGTGAATCCACAAGAATAAGGTCTAGCGAGTAGCGGTAGAGAGAAAATTATAAAAATTTTCAAAATTTACAGAAATCTGTAGGCAAGCAGCGTGCAGATTTGTAATTCGTACGAAATCCGTGCGCTATGTTACAGTTACATAGACTTTGTGACTGTTGTCTGTGGGACTCCCCGCTAGTTATGCGTCATTCCTAACTATGTATTATAACGAATATCAAACTGATGATTACAACTTTGACAATCAAATTGATTCACACAGAGATCAATACTTCGATTCTTCGATCAATATTATAGTGATATTATTGACTCCCAAAATTACCAGGATTTTCTAACACTCACCAGCCAACCTCCAGAGAACACAACTCAAGACCCAATTCCTGAAATCCAGTCCCAAATTCAAACATTGAACTTGGACAACATGAATCCAAACTTGAACTTCCCGAAACAAAACTTTATCTCTCATAGTAACTCCAAAACCTATATTATATCAACGACGCTTCAAATAAATACACGTTATTAATCGACTCAGGAGCAGACCCTGCAGACATTCCCAAAACCACTTTTACAGTGGAAAATGGTCATTGCGAATTTGTCCGTATGCCATTTGGCCGCAAAAACGCCCCCTCAACGTTTCAGCGAGTCATGGATAACATTCTTCTTGGCACCCAGAATGAACGTTGTTTGGTCTACATTCTACATGGACGACATTATCGTGTATTTAACTATCCATGAGCACATTTCAACATTATCCGAAGTCTTCAAACGTTTTCGAAAAGAAAATTTGAAAATACAGCCTCAGAAGTGCGAATTTCTAAAAAAAGAAGTGGCATATCTTGGCCACCTTATTACTCAAGAAGGAGTAGAACCTAACCCAGCAAAGATCGAATGCAGCTTTCCCGTTCGGACAACACCAAAAGAGATCAAATCCTTTCTAGGACTTGCCGGCTATTACCGACGTTTCATTCCCAATTTTACCAAAATTTCAAAACCACTAACAAAAGGACGTTCCATTTAACTTTCACTCAGAATGCTCTTCCTCCTTTGACGATCTCAGAGAGGCACATTATTTCTGACCCCCATTTTAATTTATCCAAATTTCGGGGAAACCTTTTATTTGTCTCAAGCGCATTTGCTATTTGAGCCAGGGATGCTATTTCTAGTACAATTGTACTAGATCTAGCACAATCACGTTTCACCTAGTTAGCTTGTACCTCTCTCATAAATCTAGTACAATTTGGAATACAAGTCGAGTGACGCACTTCACTCTATACCGTACCCGGGTTCTGCACTCCACTCTCAACTTGTGGGTTGGGTTTCACGTTCCGGTCCCATTACGGTGCGGATAAAGCCAAACAAGAAACTGGCGTTTCGAATATGAGGCAATTTTTGGCGAGAATACTCAAGCATAATCTGATTATGCTGGGTTATGTGATATGTTAATTGTGTCATACTTCCCTAACTTCCTTTCCATCAAATGCTGGGCCTGCGAAAGACATCACTATCAGCAGAAATTAGCAATGACGTCACCCGCAGACCTCGATCGAATGCTTGCGATTCAGGCTATGCTAGTGAGTTTATTTTTTCATCGATTTTAATTATAGAAAAGGTGATTTTCGGTCTGTTCTCACAGAACAAATTAGTGTTTTTGATCCTCGAGTATCCCAGAATTTGGGGAGTTTTTTATTCTGTGACTTGACGTGTGTCATGAATCGGTGGTTATTCGATTATTCAGCGGATCATGGTAATCGGTAGTCGATTTATAACTAAATATGTAGAAATTTATTTATTTCCATCATTCAGGGCCGGTTTCCAAATAGCGAGTCACCCCCAGGGTTAAGGATAACTCTAGGTAAACATTGCAACTAGACACGTTTACCATGGAGCTAAAACCAACCCGCAGGTGACTCGCTATTGAGGTGAGTTGCGATTATACGAACTGTGACTTTGTCATTGCTACTCGTCTGTCACAATCACGGCCTGCTCGGGTCCCACTCAAGTAGCAGTGACATTTTGTCACGGCCACTTCGATCTCTAACCGATACAGTGCGGACTAAACTCAACTTAAAGTGATGCAAATAATGAAATATTATTATGAATCACATTGCGGTGACGCAAAACAGAAACTGCCACTGCAGAGGGCAGACTGGAACATTGTTCTCGGCCGTGACTGTGAACTGAGCGAATTGCGATTATGTAATGTACCATGTATTACCAGCACGGCCAGTCAAGTCACTGTTATTTGTTACCGTAACACGACTAGAGCAGTCACGTCTTGTCACAGTTCCAGTAAAATCGCAGGTTGGCCCACTTCTAGTTAAAACCAACCCGGAGGTGACTCGATATTGAAAAATCGGTCTACAGGGACGAAAAAATGTAGCAACCCTGGCACAAAAGTTGCAACAACCCTGACGCAAACGTCAAAAAATTTGACATGTCAAAGTCAAAGTAGGCCTTGTAATTTTTGACAAATAATTCAAAATGGCGACAATGGCGTTTGTCTGTTTTTTGTTATGAGAGCCCCCTTTTTTTGATTCAGAGCCTCATTTTTTCAGCTAAATTTAGTGTTTTTTAAATGCAAAGTAGCTCTAAAACCCTCTGAGTAGGACAAGGAAAGAGATAAAGTAGGATGTAATTCAAGTGCTCACTTTTTTTAAAAGAGGCAGAAAAACCTTATTTACCCCTAATTTTAGTATTTGAAACTAGAAATTTATGGATGAAAATGAAGAAAACTCAAAGCTTCGTACTTAAAATAGGTTTTTCCGATCGAAAAAGCACTGGAAAAGCGGAAAATCCAAAGAAAATCTCGTAAAAATTACAATTCAGGGGCCTGTTTCATAAAAAATATTTGTCTAATAATATTACTCTTTAGTCAATATTATAAGTCAAAATTATGATATAGATAATATAATTTTGACTTATAATACCTGCTAAAGAGTAATATTATTAGACTAATATTTTTTTATGAAACAGGCCCCAGAGTCTACTTAATAAAACTTGAGTTTTTGTCACTTACCCCATTGCAAGACGGGACATTTTTGGCAAAAAATGAAGGAAATTCAAAGCATCGTCTTCTCAATCGGTTTTTCCAATTGAAAACGGCCTGGAAAAGCGGAAAATTCGAGGAAAAACTGGATAAAAACATTCAAAAATGACCAACTGTCGAAACTGGGAAATGACATTGTGCGACGTTGCCACATCTCAATTATATTTTAGAGTTTTATGTTTAAATAATTAATTTATAATGTTTATAAAATGATAAATTCCGAAAATAATGCATTGGAATCTTATTTTTAATAAATTTTAATAAAAATGATATTTCAAGGCCTGCTTAGTAAGGAAGACAAAGAGGGAGATGAAGTAGGAAAAAATTAAATCTAAAAATGGAAGTTTTTGGTAGAAAAATGAAGCAAATTCAAAGCCCTGCCTTTAAAATCATCTTTTTCTAATTGAAAAATGGAAAAGTAGAAAATTCAATGGAAAACCAACATTCCAAAGCCTACTCGAAAAATCAAAGTTTTGGTCACTTACTCCATTGGGAAACTGGAAATTTTTGGTGGAAAATAGAGAAAACTCAAAGCCTCGAATTTTAAAAAGATTTTCCCTATTGAAAACGGCCTGGAAAAGCGGAAAATTTGAGGAAAAACTGGACAAAAATGTAAACTCGTCAATTGAAAATGGCTGACTGTCAAAAATGGCAAATGAGATTTATTACAAGGTCTACTTGAAGTTGGCTACAAACGATGTTGCCACGTCACAAAACTTCCAAAAAAAATCATTCAAAATGGGATTCTACTTGTAATCTAATAATTAAAAACCCGTTAAATAATTAATCAATAACGATTTTAAAATTAGAAATTCCTTAAATAAGTCCTCAGAAACTTGCTTTTCAATAATTTTTTTTCACTTACCCTTCGACCGTAAATAAATGGATCTAAAACTGAAAATTTCTAGCAGAAAATAGAAAAAACTCGAAGCCTCGTACTTTTAACTAGTTTTTTTTCGACTGATAAAACCCTGACAAAGTGGAAAATTCGAGGAAAACGTGGATAAAAATGTAAACACGACACTTCAAAATGGCCGACTAATAATTTGATAATGAGTATGACAAAGAGAGAGATAAATTAGGATACTATTTCAGTCTAAAAATGGAAGTTTATGGTGAAAAATTGAAGCAAATTTAAAGCCCTGCACCCAAAACAGTATTTTTCCGATTGAAGAAGCCTTAGAAAAGTGGAAAATTCAATGGAAAACTGAAGCCTACTTGATCAAACCAAGGTTCTGGACACTATAACCTCGTTGGAAAACTGGAAATTTTTGTCAAAAAATTAAGTAAACTCAAAGCCTCCTACTTTAAACAAGTTTTTTTGATTGAAAAACCGGAAAATTCAAGGAAAAGCGGGATAAAAACACTCGGCTGTCAAAAGTGGCGAATGACATCACATTACAAGGCCTACTTGATCGAAAACAACGTTGCCACAATTACAATCTCAAAAAAAATGTTTTTCCTCATTTTCCAACAAATAAAAAAAAATCATTTTTAATGTTAATTTGATTGTATTTGCAGCAAAAATAGTAAGACAAAGAAGTAGATAAGGTAGGATACATTTGCAAAAACACAAATACTGTTATAAATGAGTGAAACAAAGAAGAAGATAAAGTAGGATGCACTTCAAGTACACAATTTTAGAGGTGGGTTGCGATTTCACGAACTATGACTTTGT